ATACGTAGAGGGCGACATTGGAAGAATCTAGTGAGTGGAGTCCTAAGGGAAGGAATTCGAATGCGGGAATATGATGTTAATAAAGTAAAACAATGAATACGAAGAGGGCGACATTGGAAAAATCTAGTGAGTGGAGTCCTAAGGAAAGGAATTCGAATGTGGGAATATGATGATAAAAAAGTAAAACTATGAATACGCAGAGGGCGACATTGGATAAATCTAGTGAGTGGAGTCCTAAGGAAAGGAATTCGAATGTGGGAATATGATGATAAAAAAGTAAAACTATGAATACGCAGAGGGCAACATTGGAAAAATCTAGTGAGTGAAGTCCTAAGGGAAGGAATTCGAATGTGGGAATATGATGATAAAAAGTAAAACAATGAATATGCAGAGTGCAACATTGGAAAAATCTAGTGAGTGGAGTCCTAAGGGAAGGAATTCGAATGTGGGAATATGATGATAAAAAAGTAAAACAATGAATACGCAGAGGGCGACATTGGAAAAATCTAGTGAGTGGAGTCCTAAGGGAAGGAATTCGAATGTGGGAATATGATGATAAAAAAGTAAAACAATGAATACGTAGAGGGCGACATTGGAAAAATCTAGTGAGTGGAGTCCTAAGGGAAGGAATTCGAATGTGGGAATATGATGATAAAAAAGTAAAACAATGAATACGCAGAGGCGACATTGGAAAAATCTAGTGAGTGGAGTCCTAAGGGAAGGAATTCGAATGTGGGAATATGATGATAAAAAAGTAAAACAATGAATACGCAGAGTGCGACATTGGAAAAATCTAGTGAGTGGAGTCCTAAGGGAAGGAATTCGAATGTGGGAATATGATGATAAAAAAGTAAAACAATGAATACGCAGAGGGCGACATTGGAAAAATCTAGTGAGTGGAGTCCTAAGGAAAGGAATTAGAATGTGGGAATATGATGATAAAAAAGTAAAACAATGAATGCGTAGAGGGCGACATTGGAAAAATCTAGTGAGTGGAGTCCTAAGGGAAGGAAGTCGAATGTGGGAATATGATAATAAAAAAGTAAAACAATCAATACGCAGAGGGCGACATTGGAAAAATCTAGTGAGTGGAGTCCTAAGGGAAGGAATTCGAATGTGGGAATATGATGATATAAAAGTAAAACAATGAATACGCAGAGGTCGACATTGGAAAAATCTAATGAGTGGAGTCCTAAGGGAAGGAATTCGAATGTGGGAATATGATGTTAAAAAAGTAAAACAATGAATATGCAGAGTGCGACATTGGAAAAATCTAGTGAGTGGAGTCCTAAGGGAAGGAATTCGAATGTGGGAATATGATAATAAAAAAGTAAAACAATCAATACGCAGAGGGCGACATTGGAAAAATCTAGTGAGTGGAGTCCTAAGGGAAGGAATTCGAATGTGGGAATATGATGATATAAAAGTAAAACAATGAATATGCAGAGTGCGACATTGGAAAAATCTAGTGAGTGGAGTCCTAAGGGAAGGAATTCGAATGTGGGAAGCTTTCTCTGTTCCGGGCAATTTTTTAACTTCAGATTTGCTAAAAACAATAGAAAAACGATATCAACGCATCCCGAAAATGTTATGCACCTGACGCACCTCGTTTTCTATAAATTATGCAACCAGATAAACAGAGGAGATGACAAAAGAAATGGGCAGGAGAATTTACATTTTAATCAACCTTTACTAGATTACGGTTTAAAGTTGATAGCAGGAAAACACCTGTGAAAGATCGTCCCTACGAGCTTCTGTCAAGCAGTTTTGCAATGATCTACAAAATTTTGAAAATTAATATTTTTACTTGGTTTCACTATGAAAAATCTGAACTTGAAATTGTGACTGTCGCCTGTGGGACGGTCTAAATCCGTGCCTGCATTAGCTATAGCATTTTTTGGATACAGTAAATTCTCGAATTGCCCCCCCCTCGAAAAAGCCCCCCCCCTCGAATAAGTCCCTACCCTAGAACTACAAATTTCCAATAAGCCCCTTCCCTCGAATAAGCCCCCACTGCTACCGTATATTCTCGAATTGGACCCCTACATTTGAATATTTTTGACATCTGAGGTTGCCTATGGCGTTTTATTGAATTACCACGACAAATTCGTACTTTTGGTGGTAATCAATTAAATGCTCATAAAGAAATTCCTACCAAAATAAAGAAAGTCTTTTAATAAAGTCTTCTTATTGTCTACAATAATTTTATAAGCCTCCCCCTTATATAAGCCCCCCCTCGAATAAGCCCCTGTCCAAAAAAATAAATAAGCCCCCAGGGGCTTATTCGAGGATTTACGGTAAGCTTGGATTGGTGGTAGAAGAATCAGCAAAAATAGAATTTCTACAAAGTTGCGGCATACTACCTAGCCTTGATTACTGTTTTTGTCAAACAATCATGAAACAATTCATCCCATAGATTTGCAAAGAAGCTAAATGACTTCTAACATCCACGTTTGGTTGCTCACAAATAGGCGCGCATCTCTTAAAAAGACATTCCATTGTTTAAAAACACAGTGTACTCGATTCTTCGTACACAAATGCGAATTCGAGTAAATAAAATGCAACTCGAGCGGAAAAACTGAAAATAATCTCACCAACTTCAGCGTTAAATTTAGCAAAAGAACAGAATGCAACCAGGTAGAACGCCAATTTAGTCGTTTGCATCGCAAGAAAAAACCTTTGCTCCTCGCAGTCCAACTTCAGGTTGTCTTGTAACGTGTGAAGAAAATACTTTGCGAACATAAAGTTTATACACCCAAGGCCGCTGCACACTTGCACGCTTGTTGCTTTGGCCGTATAAAAGACATAATGTAATTCTTACTCGAGCGCTGCTACAATGAACACGAACTCCACAATCGTGCTATCTGTGCCAAAAAATCCCAAAAGGCATCGAAAAGGCGTACCCTGTCACATATTCAACGTGATTTAATTTCATTCAATCAAGCTTACCACAGAATAATGTCCTGCATGACCACTGCCTGCCAAAAAATCATCGACTTAAAGGGGCTGTGTCACAGTTTTGGTTAACAAACCAAATACACGGGACATTATGCGTTTTTAGCCTGAGAAGTACATTGGGATAATGGCGGATGGTGCTCCGGTGCATCGACAAGCTCGATAAATTGTATTTTCTGAGCGTATTCACCCAACATGGAATAGACAATTGCTAAATTTAAGCATATGTACTGACTATCGAAACGAAAAATGTATGCTAATTTTGTCTAGGCTAAGGAAATGAAGCTTCATTCAATCATGGCAAAAATATTCCGTTTCTCTTGGTGAGTTTAGATGGAATTAGACACTTTACAACAAAAAGATTACTCCAAAATTGTCCTGCAAACTTTAATACTGTTTTTCGCTCATAATTTGCACCGGCAAGGTAGGTTTTTTGTAGTCATTTCGGCCCATTTCTATCAACTGCTCACTTCGAGTTGCTGTGTAGCCTTTGTTTTTTGTATCGCCATCGTTTATCCAAAGAAATATGGTGATAAGACTGAAGAAAGAATCTTTTATTTTTCGTTTCCTTTCATAAAACATACTAAAATGCGAAGCTTCGCACGATGTGCAGGGATACAAAAAACTGTTTTATTCCATATTGGTTTTCCTATTCAACGCTGGTTGTTTCAACCAAACAACTTTGGCTCAACTGGCGTGTTGCCACGCGGAATGTCCCTTGTGACAGAGCCCCTTTAAGGAGTTGGTTGGTTATATTCCTTCGCTTTAAATAAAATTTATACTGAAATAGTTAGATCCGATCAGTTTATGATGATATTGCTACGTTAGATAAATGAAGCCCTTTTCATAATAATACAAAGTACGAAGAAAGACAACTTTTAACTGTAAACAGATAGATTACTTTTACAGCGAAGAAAATTTTGTGATGCGGAAAAAAGCGCATTTAAGCGTTCACATCTAATGCGTCATCGCGCGTAATTTTCTGATGCTGTTCAGCTTTTTTTAGCCTTGTAATCTCAATTTATTGCTGCTATTTTACGGGCAGCCTCGAAGGCCTTGTATGAAAACCATTGAATCTGTGGGATTTCAACTATCAACTTCCTTTATAGAACTAACAAACAAATAAAAATACGATAGACATATTCTTTTCATATAATATGTTATCCTAGAGTTAATTGCAGTGAAGCTTCCCTTCTCCAACCTGTTTCACATTGTTTTATGACTGCTAATAAACATCAAAGCAAACTCGTTTTCAAATTCCTTCTTCTTTGCATCGCATAAAAACAGATATTTTCTAAAATTCTGCTTTCTAACTGCTTCAATCAAATGTTGATGTTTTGCCAGGGCCTCCGACGCAAAAGGGGGGGGGGGGAATGGTCGGGGGCCATGCTCCCCATTTTTTGCAAAACAATAAAGCTTTTTTCAAATTTTTTTGTTATGATTGTTAAATTTTCTCTCCCCCCCCCCCCAATCTTCCAACCTGCGTCGGAGCCCATGTTCGCGACCGTTAATGCGCGAGCCAACTATTTTTTTGATACGTCAAAATTGGATTTATCCAGCAGATTCAAAACGACGATCGTAGAACGAGGCAGGAATAAATGAAACGGCTTAATTTTGAATCAATAAGAATTTTAACCTAGCGATGACTGTGACCATAAATATGCAGTTTTAAGTACCATTTTACAAACTGAGGCACTTTTTCTAAATGAAGTTTTGTCTTGCGAAATACGATAAAGCCTCTCTTAAATGTCTAAGTGCAATTAGTCTCTATCTGCTCAGTTAAGGCAACTTGTACCGCACATACGGGACTTCAACATCCTCACCATCGAAATCATTACAACAAAGTTCCAAGACCAAATGCTTTATGTGTTTATTGGACACTTTTTTCTTTGACAATTTCTCTACGATGCTTGATACACTGAAATAAATGGCATAACAATATCACAACATTGGGGCCTGAATGTGCTTTCATGAAAGAGAAATGACAAGTAAAGGTTACCAAACCGAACAAATTGGTAAGAATATTGGAATCAGAAGTGCATACCAAACGAATATGGTTCAAATTGCTAATGGCGGACACCTGGGGGCGAGCGAGGGTGGGGGGCTGGCGGCCGCCTTAAAGACTTTGGTGGACAATAGTCTTTTGTTCTAAAACAATGGGAAAATGTGACGTCATCTTATTAAAACAATAGTCTCCCCCCCCCCGAATTTTGATCAAGTGTCCGCCCCTGCGTATTACGAATTGAGTTAAAGCAATAACTTAATCATTTTCGTTCTTTTTCTTCTCTAACCATCTTACTGTACTCCAATTTGTTATCAGTTAGGATGGGTTATGCCGGAAACGTCTAATCGATATATTCAAGGATACAACATTACATTCAAATCATCATCCTCGTGTATAGGGCCAAAATTACAAGAGGATTGATTAGTTTTCACATTTGATCGGATTCAATTATCCAACGTCGCATTGAATTGTATGCAAATCTGCACTTTTGTTACGCGACTATTTATTGCTGTACTCTAGCTGCTCTTCACATTTTTGCGGAGGAGCGTCTTTAAAGAAACACAACAACTGGCTTCAACAGACAATGATCCAAACAATAACTTCAAAGGAGATTCACTTCAATGCTGGCAAGTCTCTGGTTTGGCAACGAAAACCCATACTTTGGATCACCTTAGAGTCATGTAACTCAAACTCAAATCCGAAGTTTTCACTAATCGTTGTGAACCAAATACAGCATCATGTAGGTCAGGCCCTAGGTAAATATACTTTACTCCCAGTGGATTAAATTAACTTAAAAGAAGAAATAGAAAATCTTCAATACTCACGGGTTTGTGAGCCGCTCCTTCATCTTTGCCGGTGGCATGAAGAATGAATAGAGCATCGACACCCCTTGGGAGATCATTGTCACCTCAAGTTTGTGTTCCGTCTGGAAAAGTATGAAATATTCGTTAAATAAAGAGATTGTGTAACTGGGTGGCATCAATGGCATAAAATACATATATACCTTAACGGGGAAAATCGGCTTAAAAAAGTTGGGCACAAATTAAGTCGGGGACAAATTTAGACACGTCTCCACGACTTTCATTTGAAGCATGCAATAAAATTTACATTGGCAAACTCTTTCAGGTTAGCAAAATAATTTTTTCAAACTTAACCAACAGCTATAAAAATATATGATAGTTTAGTCCAAAGTGTGGTAAAAAACAGGAATTAGAAAGTGAGGAAAATACAAACTTGGTACAGAAAAATCGGGAAAAAATAAGTAGGAAACAATTCCTGACCGTTCTTGAAAATTTTTTCGTTTTCCCCTGTTTTTTTTCTTTTTAAGATATTTTAAATAAATGACCATATCTAGACGGAAACTCGAAGGAGAGTACAATCAAAGGTCGCAATTTTCACTTAAATTTCTTTATCTTCAAAATTAACTCAGATAACTTGCCTTAAAAAATTCGATGAGGTCGCCAATAGTCATTTCTTCACCGTTTGCTTTCTTGCCAACAATTTCAAATCGATCCCAAAGTGTAAAGTCTTTTTCGTTGTACTGAAGTGAAAAGAAAAGTTGTGAGTAGCACAATTTAAACTCTAGATAGAAATTAAAATCTGCCTGCATGAAAACTTCTGACAACATTTGAAAGTTAGGACAAATTTCTGACTATTATTTGTTTCGATGCTATTGTCTTTTAGGTTAACAGCCATTTCATTTGTGGTAAGAAAGGACAGTTCAGTATGTGACTTTGCTCCAAACCTTAAAAGAAAACAAGTAAAAGTGGGGGAGGGGTTGAAAAATAGAGAAGCACAAAAATGAAAATCATATATAAAAGATAGAAAAGAGAAATTAAAAACATTTTCAAGCAAAAACTGAAGTACTTGACCATCAAACTTGAAACATTTTTAAAATGTGGTTAAGTGTCCCTGTCACACAGGGCTTGCAGCAAACTAAGTTAAAATTTGAGGTAACTTAGAAATCGCCCCTAATTCAAAGAACAGTTGATGAAAAGAAAATGAACGCCTACAAATTTGTGCATTAAACTCGCTTTTGCTTACAAAGTTTGTCTGATAACAATATATATCTAAAAAAAAATATTTATTTCATAGAGATATGATACAGATACTTCTTAGAAAATATAACAAGTATTGGCGATAAAATAAAATGACGATAAATTCAAACTCACAGTCATTTTTGGAGCAGGTAGTGGTTCTGAGAAACCAAAGAATGGCAAAGCAAGGTTTACAAATCCGTTCTTGTAATTTTCGATTTTCTTATTTTTGCCAACAAGCTGAAAGAAAATTTATCAAAACACGATCTTAGAAGCTTCAAAGTTAAATCTCAGCACCTTCTGATAAACAGATGAACAGAACTCAAAACCTCAAGGAAACATTTCAAAGCCCCCACATAGTCAACCCCCGTTTTACCACAGGTAAATTATCATTTATTACTGATGTGATAAAAATAATTCTTATTGTAAATTAAATTGATATTTTTTTAAATTCGTACTAAGTATTTGTAAATAAATTGTGGAATACATTAGCATTAGCTAGTTTTAATTGTGTTTTTCTTAATCGCCAAAAATTAAAGAAATTGATAATACTAGTAGTTGTAAGAATCAAAGATCTGACTGCATTCGTATCTCACCTTATACAACTCCAGACAGACAAGCCCAGTGACCAAGGAGGTTGTTGTTGCTATCGCCGGGATGATTTTGCCAGCTATCAGTTTGGTCTGAAAGAAAAGATAACACAAACTTCCTAAATATAATCGACATTGTCGGAGTCAAATAGTTTTCCACAGGTTTAGTATAAGAAGATAACTTTCCTAAATAGTCTTAAAAACCTGTCGTGCAATCAACTAATCTTTACTTTCATTTCTAAAAAGAGGTTTTGCTGTAAATTTGATTTTTCCTTCTTTATTCATTCATTCTCGTACACGCTTTTGGTGTATATAGCAGAACGAACTTAAGCTGCTTACTTTGAACCGTCCTGTTGTTCACACCAAAAGCGTGTACAGCTCTGCTTGTACGACATCAAACATTTTACGACAGAGAACACTTTACGACAGACGAGCAATAATAAACAATACTTTTGATTCATACTCGTGTGGGTAAATTGTTCGTAATATCTTTCCTTTGCGAAAATCTTTATATTTTTAAAAGAGCCTTTGTCTTTTTGTCAAGGATGTATGGCGATTGTCTGTTTAAGATTAAAGGGTTGGGTTGCTCTGGGTTGGATAACAATTTTATTCTCCAGAAAACAGCATTATGGGCAACCCGTGAAATAATTCCTAATAACTTATAGTAATCAGACAGGTTAACTATAAAAAAGTCTGAGATTGTAAATAGAAAAAAAGTAGGCCATTTTTCAACGAGGATCTCGAAGAACATTATTGAAACAAAGAAGACAGAGTATGACGACAGCTATTTTGCGTCTTTATTAAACAGTGGTTCTCTTTTTATCTTATACATTTCTCATTTACATAAAACGGCCTTCTGTTGTGAAGAGCAAGCTAAACTTCTGCATAAATCTTCTATTGGCCCAAAACTGTACAAAAATATGAATCCCATACCCAATGAAACACACACCAAAAGCAGCAAATGTTTAACAGTTCGTTTAACTATAAGAGTTAAACTAATAAATGCAATCCAAAATTGTCACTGACTTTGTGCTTTCAATTACAAATTTTTCCCTAACCCACCCTACTGATGATACAAAAAGGCGTAACAAAAATTTCATCTCGACAATGCGACGATAAAAAAGGACCCAAAAGTTTGATCATAAAGTACCCCAAAAATGAATATATTTCAGAAAACTACAAGGGATGGGGAAGAAAAATATGCACCTTATGTCGATCAGCATTTGCAATCTCATAGTTCGACGCACGAAGATTGGAGCAGGCTGTGATGAAATCCATGTGGAAATTTGTATCGTCATCCTGTCGACAGGTTAAAATGTCAGAAGCGTAGAGAAATTTTCAATAAATAGAAGACATATTGGGGCTTTGAGCACAATTTCACCTTTCAAAAGGCAGTTTACAGGAGAAATTTCTGCTCAGGCCGAGTTTCAACTCGGTTGAAGTTAAAGGCCCTTATACAGTTTATATGAGATTTCAAGAAGGGCAGAAATCCTAACATAAACGGAGAAAATTTGAGCTTGGGGCGAGTTGAGTTTTTCAAACACCTACAAACCCAAATCAGACGAAAGATGCGGCAAGAATTTGTTTCAGGTAATTTATATTGAGTGAAAGAATACTGACAGAAGAGCACTGGCGGAAGAATACTGGCGGAAGAATACTGGCGGAAGAATACTGGCGGAAGGATACTGGCGGAAGAATACTGGCGGAAGAATACTGGCGGAAGAATACTGGAAAAAGATTGCAAAAAATTACGGAAAAACAACATGGCTTAAAATGGAATAAGGAACTTTTCATGAGAAATATTAAAACCTTTTCAAATTCTTCCGGGCACATCTTAGAACCTTTCATTAACTCAGGCGCTGGCAGAGTGTCTTTTATTTCTTTTATTCGATCGTCGTCTTCATGGAAAAGAAGAAAACAAAGAACTTGAGTATTGCTTTGGCCATTGAAATGATAACCAAATGAGATGCATTAGGCACAAAAGAAGAAATTTTGCAAGCAGAAGTAAAAAGGTAGCTACATGCAAAAAATTAATAATCTAAGAACCTGCAGGAAGAAACATTAGGCAGGAAAAGTCAAATTTTCTTAAGGAGCCTAGGTTGAACCAAAAGGCGAAGGAGATGTTAGGTGCACTACAGTACCCCCAATACCTCGAACTCTAGTCAACTGAAACAGTTTTTGATTCACCATGAGCAGTTTTCATATCCATTTTGAAATATTTTGAACATATTTATTCATTATTCGAGTATTCACTTTTTGCTAAAATTCGACAAATCGAAAGTATAATCTACAAAGAACAGCAAATGCATACTTACCACAGGGTGCTTGAATCGACTGTTCAGCTTCTTGCTCCGTCACTGAAATCACGACGCCTAAAATACGATGAATTTATATTTAATAACTTTATAACGACTTAAGTCTTTAAATATCACGTAGAAATATAATCCTGGCAACTACATATCGCTCGTTTCAAAGCTTTTTCACGAATTTCAAGATCTCTTCATTTGTTATCTTACTTAACAACTGTATCTAAGATATCAGACCAAATTATAAATCAAAGCACAAAAGATGTTGATATTAACCTTTGCTTTAGGCGGTCACTTTGCCTATTACTCGTATTTTTTCTTTTTCATTCACGGCAGACTCACATACCGGTTCATGCACTGATCAGTTTGAAACGGTCCATGACACCATATTATTGGTAAAGTATTAGAGCAGGTATTAGCTTGAATAAGGTGGCATCAAAAGTACTCTTTACAGAAAAAATAAGCATATTCTAAGAATCAGAATCTCAAATCTGAACAAACCTGACTTCGGAGTGAATTCCGGAACAACCACAGCTTTTAAAACATTCAAAATAAAACTATGATCGGACGAGCCTAGCGAAGGAAAAAAATGGTTGGTCTTTTTTCAATAAATCAACAGAAGATAGCCCATATTGTTTTGAAACCATTCTTTCACATACATACTGGAGTGCTAATGTCTGACGTAATCAAAAAAATGTTTTTGGAATACTTAGATTTGCACCGCATAACAATAAAAACACAACAAAGTACCACTTATAGCGAAAATCAGCTAAATATGTCAAAAAAAGTTGGGATATATTCGCCAACAAAAGGTATGAAGTTTGCAAACGGATTACTGTTATTTTAGCCTTGCTCATAAAGTACCATGAAAAATACCAAATAAGAAAGGTTTGATGGGGAAAGAGTTGATGCTTCCGATGCAACAGCTCAGCCAATTCGCAACACATGTAACTGATTTTGCACTTTAAGAGGCATTTTATGCTGCTCTTTCAGGTAACATTTTCAAAATTGATAAATTCCAGAAAAATATTTTTTTGATGGCATCACTTTGGAACTCAGGATTAAAAATCAAAGGATTAAAATAATGTCACGATTAAAAATCAAAAATCATAAACAAAACATAATTAGTTGTTAGGTGTGAAATCGATAGAGCTTCAAATATGTGCACAAAAATAGAATAGAGTTTTTGATGAAAAACATTGCAATGAAATGAGTCATTTTTAAATGAATTGTCACCTTTAATCCCATAATTCTTAGCTTTGAGATTGGCTGCTGCTATGACGAAATTCATGTGTGATTCCTTTGAAGAGAAACACAAGTTGATCAAAATAAAATTTGAGAAATATCTTTATGATTTCAATTTAGTAGTCCTTGATCAAGCAACATGTTCACTTGCAAAACACGACATCATATAATTTAATATATTACTGTATTTGAAGATGGCACGGAAAAGCGGAATGAAAATGGCATGGGATATTTTATTCTCTGTCAAACTGATGTTTATACTCTGAGGCGTATCGAGCGAGAAGTTCTTTGGTATGCAATGTTTCAGCTCTGTTGTGCTACCTTCAAATTTTGAAGTAACAAAGACTTAAATAAATAATAAATAATAAACGAGAAAAAGAAAAACTTCATGAAGCATGGAATAACGATGTAAGAGATAAAATCATTACACTACGTAAGGTTACCTGTAGCCTGGATTCAAAATGATTGCTTATTGAACCAAGAAAAACCATCATAAAAGAGCTATCCATCTTGTCTTCAGTAGAACCAAGATAAAGTATTGAAAAATACTCACGTTAGTTGGATCGAACTTTAGCGGATGTGGGCATCGTTTTGGGCCTGACCAGAATGGCTGACCAGAGCTGGTTTGCTAAATATAAATAAAACTACAGTGAAAAACGGAACATTAATGGGGAAATGTAAATACATCTAGGCAAATGCTGGGAATTCTTCATAATTATAAAATTGCTTCATCATTTTGATTTAAGCATGTCTCGCAAAATGGAAAGCAAAAGTAATACATGGTTTGGGTTTAATTTCGTGGTATTTTTACACTTTAACAAGTTCAAATTAGAGTTTATTTCGAAAGAGGGTATAATAAAGAAAGGTATGAGGTGAAGGTATGGCATAGTCTCTTTTGATGTTTTTCATTTTCTACAGTATGCAAACTTACGGAACAACTTGTCTAGAAATCCCTCATGTTATCGCATTTGTTTATGCTTGGATTCCTATCAGTACTAAACCTACAGAGGATATGCCACGCTTTTGCAAAAATTTCTTAAAGTGCTGGAGATCGTGCGTTATGAACCTGAGGTAAATACCAGGCTAATAGAGGAGGGTGTTCTGGGGTCTTGATAACTTTGAATTAATTTATTTACTGAGCAAGATTTTCGAGCATGGAATTGACATTTGTTATGATTTCAATTCTGTGTCGAGTTTCGATACGAAATAAGATTAGCAATCACGCTAGGTCAAGGAAGTCAAAGGCAAAGATTTTCCATCTCTCCTGAAGAATTTCTGTTCATAAAATTAACAAAACAGGATAGCGTCGCAGATTTGAAATGGCTAGTGTCCGCTTGTTTTCGTATTGGTTCCCTGTTAAGTGCTTGGCCTTTCGCCTAAGAACTTTTTTTAAACTGGATGCCCCGTGACACAGCCCCTTTAACTAGAATATTTAAAAATGCAAATTGAAATATAATTGATCAAAATTACCTGATCTGGAGGGAAATTGAATAGCAGCTGTTTGATGGTATTATGGAAATATTCCTGGAAGAGATGTCTAGCCCAGGCAATACAGTCCTCAAAGTTCTTAGGCCTCTCGCTGACAAGCGCCTTTTTAACGCTTTCTAATGTTTCGATCTACAACAGAAATGAAGGATGAGCTCGCATCAGAGGGGCGATATTTGATGCGAAATAGGCTGGGACTAAAATAAACACAATACTAGAATGAATAATTAGAGTTTATCTTCGAATGAGCACTCCTAAAATATGAAAAAATACAATGATCGCCCCACTTATTAGCGTCTTTACCCTAGACTGCGAAACAGTTCTTTCTTTTTTTGGAGTGGTTGGTGAGAATGATTACGATGATAACGAAGAAATGGAAATTTAAATCGACCTTGAGTAAAAAGGCAACGATTCACTCTCTTATAAAGCTCAAATCAAACTGATTTTCAAAATTTTATTTTTGTTGGCTGCTACGAAATTGTGTGCAGTTACGAAACTCGATGAAAAACAAAAGGATTTTTCAACAAAACAAGGAACGCTATGGCTCTTGGCTGATGGCAGTTGTTAAATATACGATAACACAAAAAGCTGTTACACCCATCTTCAAGACTACAAACCTATCCCCTTAAAAAAAGCATGAACATTTATCATGATCTTGGTTACTAATTGCGGGCATTCCTGACGGCATTAGATATACTTCTTTAACAGGATGGTAATATAAATCAACAGTAATAAGGTATGCACATACGAGCTGCATTCCTTGCATCTTCACGGTCCTTTCCATGAATTTCGCGTCTCTGTAAAAACGATTCAAAAAGCTACTTAAAATGGAATACAATATCCCGAATAGGTTTTTCTGAATGACTGGTAAACCGAACAGCAAGAGGCAAATATGAAATTGTTGGAAGCTTAACAAATTATCTAGTTTACAATAAGAACTGAATGCAGAGGTAAAACATGTATATGCTTGAGATGAGCTGGAAACTGAAATTGCGTTAGGCTTTATGCATATTTATAGGGAAAACAGCGACCGCATATTCCCTGCTGCTTACATGAGGTACTGGTTCACTGCATATTCACGACTACTTACGTGAGGTACTGGTTGACTAGTTCAGCTGGTCTGGTAAACAGCCCTTCAAAAGAGTCCCTTGCCCACTAAAATGAAACGGTAAATTGATGTAAGGGTAAAGCTTGGGGAAAAAAGATTCTCTCAACAATGTGTTTGCCTTATAACATATTTCTGAAAAGCGGCTTTACCCTATGCAATAAAAAAACTCCGAGCACATAAAAGAAAGAGCAGAAATGTAGGAACGCATACAATTCCATAGGAATACCTAAAAATTTTGTTTTCTTGAATTAGTGAAGTATGATTAAAACGCATTTACAATAAAAAGTATCTTTTGCTGTTATATAACCGCAAGTTCAAATATTTATTATTGGAGTTTAAGAACTCTGAGAAAAAAACAGATACATACTGTCACTTGATTTTGGGCCAGGCTATCATTCTTAAGGTAGTCTTAAATATTAGCAGTTTTTTAGCTTTAGTTTTCTTATAAACTATACGCTGATAAAAGGAAGGAATAAAAAAGGAATAAAAAAATAAAATAAAAGGAAGACACCAAAGCTAAGATAAATTCATCTGGATCAAGGGGGTTTGTATGTCGCAGCCAGAAAATAATGAAATTATTTACCTGTATAGTGTGCTCAATGGCGTTGGGGAAATTCTTCAAAGTGCAAATAGGAATTGACTTTTCAGGTGGATCCTGCGATGAGCCGTATGACTCACTAACGTGAGGCAAAACAACCTACAAAGGCAAGCAAGAAATTTCCAATTTCATAAAGAAAAATTCTGGCAAATATCGCCACAGAAGGCTTAGAAAAATACGGTTAAGACTCTATTGAACCCCCAAGTTCTATTTAACACCCCCCCTCTAATATACACCCATCTTTCAGCTTTTATAACACACATCTTTAACACAATCCAGGGATTAAAAGGGCTTTAATATAATATGGAACGCAGTACTTAAACAAAGGGTCGAGCAGCAAAAGAGCAAAGACTTTTCTTAAATATCCAAGGAACATAATCAATTTGCAATAGCGACGTTCTAATAAATAACAATAAACAACAAAATATTAACGACTTCGTTGCCTAAATAATGCCTTAACATCCCTACTTTCAACGTCTCCATCTATTAAGCACCAACCCTCTTTCTCAAATTTGGATTTCAAGAACCTTATTAAGCCCAAAACAGTAAATATAGGAAAATCAATCTGGAGATTTTCTTTCAGAGCGGAAAAATGCTTACCATAAGGTCAGTGATTTAGGATTTTAAATATATGGGGGCTCAGACAGGACCAAGTCCAAAATTGAAGAAACGGTAGGATTATAAAACGGGAGGATAAACCTTCTCTGAAGCGAAATATTGTTAAAAGTGACTGCAAGGAGATTCTAAATTGCGACATCGAACGTAAAGGGGGTTGGAAAAGGCAGCGGGGATACCTTCAAAATTCTTGAGAAAAAAAATCAACATGAGGGATGTTTTTTTTACTTTAGAGACATGCCAATTGTACCTGGGTGTTGCCTTTCGTGCCTAATGTTCCAGATTCTAGCAATGGCTTTTGATAATAAACACATCTTCGATCCATGTACATTCCTGTAAGTTAAAAAGCAGAAAAATTTTATATCATCTGTTACAAATGTAGCAAAATGAATCAGGTTACTTAGAGACTTGTCTAAATATGACGAGGTTAAAACTATCATTTCTGAAAACAAGGAAGGAAAACCAAGTATTGGATAAACTATGTTGTTTGTATCAATCTGTTTGAAAACTGACCTAAATACATTTGCGAGTGAGAAGTTAACACTCATACTACAATTTTCGGAGCCTGGTAACCGAAAGCATTTTAATTCAATGTCTATTTGAGCCTGGTGTATTGAGTCTTTGGTAAAATGGAGTTGAGCATAAAACTTCCAATTCTAAGCAACAGTAGCCCTTTTTACGAGTTGTCTCTATCAATAATATCCTGCACTTTTGTCAAATTGCACAAGAAGTTCATCAGTGGCAACTTACTTGCATCGATGTTATCCAAAGCATTTGCGATACCATCCAAATTTTCAAAAAATTTATCATCATACGTATCTTGAAACAGTTAAAGAAAAATAAGTATTTCTAAAGGAACATTTACCAAAACTAACGACTAGTCAAACCGATTACAAAACCAATAAAAATACTATATATATTTGAAAGTATTAACAAATAGAATGTTGCAGTGAGTTTTAGGGCATTGATGAACAATTCTCGTCAAAACCCGTTGCAAGTAGAGAAATTAAATTTTGTTCTAAAAACAATAGTGAAAACGGAGTACAAAATACAGCTTTGAGTAAAATCAACCTTTAAGACGATTGAGAAAGAACAGCATTATAAAGATGGCAATAATTTGCAAGGAGAACTACCCGGAAAGTTATTAACCCGAGGGACAAATTAGGGAATAAGGGAGGTTATGAATCTAGGAAGGATAATTCTGGAACTTCATAAGCTAGACAACAATACAAGCGGCATGAAAGGGATACTTTCGGAATCCGGACCAACTCTGTTTTGATGTGCTACAATGTTTACGTCTGAGTTCATGCCCTTCACGGCCTTGCCTGCAGTTTCAGATTTCATTTTCTATGAAAAACCAAATTTTTAAATCAATACAGGGGAAAATAAAATAAAGACTCAATTTTTTGCTCACATACGTAAAGCGGTTAAAAGGATTGATATGGTTATCTAACTGGAAAACTTTGCTAAAACTTGATCGTCATAGGTCGCCATTAAAAACATTAAGTGAATCTTTGATGGATGTTAAATGAAATGACTATTATTTCAACAAAGAACAAGGACACAAACTGCAATGAGTTAGCAAACTGAAAGCATGTAGCATTAGATACCAAGAAAAACTCTAGTTGGCTTATGAGCGAAGTGCCCGTTGAAAAGATGTGCATTATGAGTGCCCGTTGAGAAGGTGCCTATTTCAAACCAAGTACCTGTACGTCTGCCGGCCTGAACAAAAACTGTCGATTTAAGTTTGACTTCTCGATTGTGTCCATGTCAGTGACAAAGACTCGTCCTTCTGGGCAACAGCCAACTCCCATCATTGCAAAATTCTTTAGCAATTCACAGCCAATGGCACCAGCACCAACCTAAGGACAAAAACACAACACTGCATTCTGCCTTCAACTTTCACTCGGCCTAAAATTTTCGAGACATAAAGACTATGTAAATCTCATAAAACTGTTGAACGAAAATTTTGAGAGGCATTGCTGAAAGGAATTCAGTAATAAAACTTGAACAGCTAGAAATTATTCGGCAGCTTCTTCCGCTGTGTTAAAAATGTCATTATCAATAAATGTGATGAAAAAATTAATTACAATAAAAGTTCTGCATACATTCAAAGATAGCTCTCAAAAATCAGGTACACGAATCAGATACTTACAACAAAAAATTTACTAGATAGGACTTTTCTCTGGAACAGATGGCCGAAAACAGCAATTTGTCCATCGTATCTACAGTTTTGCGATTTGCATAATTCTTCAGTTGGATAATCGTTTTCATCCTCGGGCAAGCACTCCAGACTGTCGAAGTAAAGCCATTGGACGATCGGGTGGAATTTTCCGCTGCACGCCTGAGGAAAAAAGTAGCTTGAAGTGACAAAATTTAGACAGATATTACAAAATCATAACAAAAATATGGCCTTCTAGTTAAAAAATTCTTAGTTTTAAAATTCTGTCCACAAAACCGCAAAACCCTATCCCTGATTTTGTAGCCCTACCACAAACCAGAGAGAGGCCATTCTCTATTCTGTTTCTTAGAGTTATTGTACCGAGGATTGTGAAGCCTCACCTTCATGACCTCCTGCGCAGCTGTACCCCCAATCACTGCCTGCATCGGCGAGACATTCCCGCGTGCCTGGTAAGAGAATTCTCTCAGCAACTTCTCGTCCAAACTATCCACCTAGGAAAACCAAATCAAAATGGCTGAAAAGCATACTCACTTGAAGATTAGATTCTTTAACTTTTTACAAGAAAATTTATAAGTAAGGCATCAAAAAATTCAAGGATAATTACTGTTTACCGTTTTATCATAAAGTGCTCGATGCCGTATAGGTGAGCTTTACACATTTTTGCCAGATGAGCGCATTAAGCGTGAAACTTGGAGTAGCAAATTAGAATCGTCCTGTTTTTTACATCAAAAAGAACAATTAAGGATAAATAATTAAATAGAGTTTTTTGGAGAATACTAAAATATTTATTCTTCTAACACTTCTGAGGTTACATATAATTGAACGAAAGGAGATAAAAGTTGCTGAGGTTACTCAGAGTTAGTATTTTCTTTAGGTTGCTATTTTCGGTCACTTTTTTCAACAGCTGAAAATTCGAAGATATTTCCGTTAGGTCGAAAATTTTGAAGAAATGGTAAATATTTAATAAAATCTGAATATCGAAATAAATTAATTGCATTTGATGGTTTCTCTATAAAAAATAAAATTCCTGACAGCCGAATCCTGCTTCAAAGGGCCTACGTAACAACTGGCTCATAAAGTCCAATAACTTTTTGAAAGTTTAACTAATTCTTAAAAAGAAACTTACAACAAGAAATGTGAAATGGTTTTTCAGATGAAAGTTGAGAAACTTTTGAATAAGGCACAGTTTGAATCAGGCTCCTTGTATTAAGCACAGTTTTTAAGCTGAGATATATAAAAAGTACTTAAAATAACAGGACATATCATCAAATTTCGCATGTTGACCTTAGATTATTCAAAACTTTAGTCTCGTGTTGAAAATTCAGAGCTACCAACCCCCGAAAACACTGTAATGTTTATTTGTAAACAATGATTGTCCCTAAAATGAACATACGTATTTTGTAGAGAATCAAGAATAGTCTGCCTCTTGAAAAAGTGGGACCTTCATTGAGGATTTGCTGTAAATCATTAATGAATTGACCATTCGTTTCAAAATGTTAAAACAAAACAAAATATATTTACGCTGGCTTTCGTCTTTCCGTTGATCTCTTTACAGAATTCTAAGAATTTATCAGCATCTTCCTGTGAAAGAAAAAATGCAAAATATAAAACAATTTATAGATCATGTTATGATATTTGCCTTAATAACAAATGGTATAAAAAGCAGACTTACAAATGACATAAAAATCATTAATTATTTCTTTTGAACGCAATTTAACAAGGGATATATATATATATAATTTTAGTTGTTTGATTTTGAAAGAAATTCACAGTGTAAAAAGCCGGATAACGAAAAGAAAGGCAAACAGATATGTCAAATGCTTAATTGCTTTGATTCGCAGGCATGCAATCCCCTGACCCGGCTGTTGGGCGATAACGATTGCTTCTTACCTTACTTCTTGGTTTTGGAAGTGTTCCATTTTTAGATTTGAATGCTTGCAGGGCCTAAAAATGAAAGGAAATATTTGAATTTATTTGCATGCAATGAACAGTTGCTAAATGACTGCTAAAAACCTTTTCCATTCTGTGAACCTCTCAAAAAGGAGATTAATTTTCGGCCAAACGAAAGTATTGCAACAAATGGTTTCGAGAAATGAAAACAAAGTACACAATGACAAATTGCAATCATGTACGCTTTTTAACTATAAGTAAGTGACAACTTCAAGGTTGATACATCCATTGCTGCATTAACTTTAGACATATATAATTCATTTTGTCTTTCATTTTCATACTTGAAAAATTTCATCGCTATTCAAAAATTTTCTTGGAACCTAGTTCTAAGGTTTCGATACATTTTGGAAAAAATTCTTCGCATAGCATATTCAAATATAACTTAACATAATTGAACCTACTATAAATCGTCCTTTTAGGGTGGAGAATAGGAGTTTTAGGAAAAGATTTTGCTTTAGGCCTAAGGACCTAAATAAAATTTGGAGTAAAACTCGCTTTTAATCCTAAAATAGAGAATTGAGGGAAATATATATATATATACAGTTCAAAACAAACCTGGTAGGCGATGTGAAGCTGTCCTGGTCGGTCGAATTTTGCATAATCTGCTATGAAAAATTCGGGCTCCTCTAAAGCCTCTCGAAATGATTTCTAGAAAAAAACAAATTGAAAACAATGAATTATCTTTAGAACGATAATTGTATCAGAAGGATACAGAAAAATTCCATTTGGATCAAGAGCGCCAGGACAAATGCCAAGAAAGTCTCACCATATTTGGCAGTTCCGGCATCACTTCACAATACGCCCTCTTAATGGTCAGTACTGATAGAATTCGTAGCACGAGGCACGGAGAGAGGTACTCTCCCTCGAGTATTTATAATTATATGTTAAACATTAAAATCTTACAGTTGATTCAAGACACGTCTCTCTCTCTTTGTTAAACCACTATGTCCCGCTCAAGTCCCAAGAGGGAGAGCTGATATATTTTACTTGTCTTTCCCATCAATTCAAGAAAATTTAAGTAAAATAATTGTGGGAAAGTGGAATATATTCAGTGTCAGGTTGCAAAAAGCTCATCTGACCAGTGGCGGACACTTGGGGGGCGAGGGGGGGCGACCGCCCCCCAATACTTTAGAGAACAATGGTCTTTTGTTCTAAAACAATGGGAAATGTGACGTCATTCACATTAAAACAATAGGTTTGCCCCCAATATAAGTCTCCTCCCCTGCATCTAACCATCAAAACTACATACTGAGGAGGACATAGTTCTACCAAAAGCCCATTCCTAGAAACTAAAATCGGATCAGTTTTTGTGCATATGAATACTTACAAATTTCATAATTTTTGGCATTTTGACTTCTGTTACAATACCGCCTGATAAATATTCCGACAAACCAGTTGTATCACCGATAGAAAATGTGTACGGTCCTGCAGAGTAAATAATATATCAGGTTAAAAAACACTTCGATCCTTATTATGGCATCTACTTGTTTGATCTTTACAACGGGTTTTTTTGAAGAAAAAAAATTAAAATTTGCGAGAAAGAAAGTAGTATAGAACCAGTAGTTAACCTTACCAAGGACTTTGATCTTTCTAGGCTCGCATCCGTTTAGTTCTTTCATTCCCTGAAAAAATAATTTACAAACTTGATATACATTCAAAATGGTAGTTGAAATGGCTGTCAGAAATGAGTGGTTTTGTAACTGCGAGCAAAGTATTAGTCGAAACAATCATAAAACAATCAATCAATCTTTTGGTGGTACAAAACTTGAAAATGGCTTTGAAAAAAGCAAACATTTAGTAAACTAAAGCTTTTCGCCTGACACTCTTCAGAGTTTAAAACGTCAGAACATAGACCGAAAATTCTACGCTAGGAAATATATATACCCAGTTGTGGATCGAAATAGGCCAATCAGAAACACGAGCACATGACTGTTGTTGTTAAATTTGAAAATTATCATTTTTACATCTTGCTATTGTATACGACATGGCCTACAGCATGGGATGGGACTTTCTTGCAGTCCGTAAATAGGGGTCCTTTCTCAGTTTTCCCTTAGGGCTCCAGATGCCTTCGTAACGCCAATGTATGATACCCGCTGGGGAAAGGGTAAAAAGGCGGCAAAAGGACGGATGGTCCCATAGGGAATCTCATTCAAACACAGGGAGCATATCGAAAGCAATGTGATTGTGCCCTGGCCGGGGGGATTCCAAAAAATTTCAATGAGGCAAATTCCATCCAACCAAATGGACACTGAGAATTTTGCTCTCAGGAATCAAACCACAATGTTTTCTTAAAAAAAGACTGTGATGGGTTACAGTCTGTTGTGGTATGAATTTATAAAGCAAAATACATTGCCCGCATCAAAGAGTATTAACCCGGGTGCCATTATTTCCAGATTAGGGTTAAAACATGACACCTTGACAGAAAACGCATTTACAATTCTGGAAAAAGTCTTTCTATGGGAGGGGTAGCGGATAGTAAGGGAACACATTTACCAGTAGAGGGTTTGGGAAGATGGTAAACAAGGGCCAACAAGGAAACAATTTCGGTAAAAGGTGAAAACCAGAAATCGACGTTTCAAAACCCGATATCTACAATCCCCGACAAAACTGTTGAAACAAAATGCAATTTTTGCAATTTTCTACTTTACATTGCCCCTATAAATTCGAATCCCCCTCTTTCCCCCCGAATCAATGTTTTATTTCTAGCTCTATCATTTCTCATTCAAAATCATGCATTTAACATCGAATTTGGGGAGGGGGGAAGTTTTTTTTCAAAGAAAAGATAAAATATCAACTTTCCTTGAAAAGTCTCAAATATTTTTGTCTCAGGAAGATCTCGAGTAAGATTAACAGTGAAAAATCTATAAAAACTTGAAGAGCGTGAAGAGAACTGAGAGACAAAACTGAATGAGCTTACTTTGACTTCTGCAAATGTAACATGATTGCCATCTTCGTAGCCATGCCGAGTTTCATCCAAGCAGGTCACAACTCCTTCTTTGTCCTGGGCACAAAATAAATTGAATTGATGAGAATGTTGCCACTAAACTTTGGTTTCGTAACGCCAAGACATTACTAAACATTACAAAGAACTTCAGGGTTGAGGTTAGGCAGCTCAGACCGTCCCTACCTGCAGAAACATGATCACTAAGAACCAAAAAATAAGTCTTTCTATTCCTAAAGACCAGAAACCAAATATAAAGTCTTTTTGGGAATTTTAGACCCACTGAAGAGGGACAGGCCCAGAAAGTACTTTTGCTCAGACCAAAAGTTAAGCTTAAGGGTATCTTAATCAAAAGAATATCAAATCTAGCAGCTTTGCTGAATACAAATCACGACATTAATTGATATTCAGAGGACTAAAAAATGAAGAACAAGTTAAAGACTCCCCGATATCATATGGCACCTTTAGAATCAAACCCCAAGACCGAGCGTCAAGCAACACAGAGAGCGATTACGAATATTTTTCCTCCTACTTTTTCTTCATTAAAAATTGAAGTGCCACAGAACCTTTGGTGAATTAATACGATTCCGTCGAGGTACATTGCAAAGCAAAACGATATTTTATGGAAATGATTTATGCGAAATTATCAGGGTATGAAAATGAGTACATTAAGAAAAGACAGTGGCTCATGACGTTTCAAGGCAACTCTATGTTTTATCAATAGTATTTTCATGATAAAGGCTATTAAATATCGATATAAAATGCGAATAAGAAACATTCCATATGACTTCTTGATAAAGAAATTCAACATTTCTAAAACTCTTCAGGGTCCTTGAAAACATATTAAACAATACTTTCACTACAGAAAATGTAGAATTTTTCCATCATCAGAACACATACCCTGGTAACAGAGGCGATCATGTAGCTCATCGGCTGCTCTCCATTCGTGTCGTTGACAACAAACGACTCCCCAAAGTCACAGAACAGCTGCCTACAAAAATAAAGTTACACCAAGATTACAAACAAGAAAAGTTCACAAACTCCTGCCATGCTACTTTCAGCTATAAGCTACTTTCAAAATCTTTTTAATGCCACATAGTCTTACATCTATAGATAAACTTTCTTCCATACTGCTATCCCAGAAAACTCCACTACAAATTCTGTTACTTTCTCTTCGAAAATTTTAGCTTAAAAAACAATATAAGACATCTGGATCACTTTTTATTTATGATTTTGAAAAAAAATTGGACATATAACTCTGATGCAGCTATTCTAAATGGAGGAGGGGGCATAATAGATCGAGCTTGGAAGTTTTCTGAATTCAACAAATAGAGATTCAAATAAGAGAGGAAGGGGGATTTTAAATTTTGGTTATAGAATTTTAGAGAATCTTAAACGGGGATTAAATGAGCATATTTCGATATTGAAAAGAAAGACAACAGACATATTTGTAACAAGAATTACTGTCAGTTAAAGAAAATTATTTCCCTGAACTCTTATTCGTATCTATATTTTTAAAAAAATAAATAGAAGGGGTCATAACGAGATTCCCGGGGGTTTGGAATAAAATCGAAAAATTAAAAGGCCGGACAGAGGGGGCTTTAATCAGGCATCTAACAAGCTACTAACTCAAATCTGGGTGATGATCTTTTTACGTAACAAACAATTTAAAACACTTTTGTACCTTCAATATCCAAAAAACAACAATACCTTTAAGAGTGCTAACAATACAGTTTATTTTCTTGAAAAGCAGTCAGTCAATTTAATAGCAAACGGTTTTACAATTTCGTTGTGCAGACGTGCCCCAATTGATCACGTGAAAAGTAAGTTTTTTCTTTTTGGGGCGGATTGCGCTGCTCACGTGATAACATGCACGTGATTATTGATTGGCCAACATAATTGATTGGCAAAAGATCTTGGAAAATGGAAATGCTTTAAAAAAGAGCTACTTGCATTGCACTTTCAGATAACATTAATACGCAATTGTCTCAAATTAACCTATCCCCTTGAAGAAAATTTAAGGTTTTACGGTATCTTTTAGTTAGAACGCTTGCTTACCCGAAAAGTCCTCTCGTGTCGGCAATAATGAGTTTGATTCCATTGGCGTGGGTGAAATCTCCAATTCGCAGCTGCTCTTCGATGCTCGAGTTAGCCAAGACAACCACCTTGAGATGGGAATCAAAACGTCACATTAAAAAATTTCTAATATAGACGGAGTGCGGGCATGGCATAACTGTGGCAAAGCTACAAAGTATTAAATGAAAAGTGTTTGAAAACAAAAAAAATTAAAAATATATTAAAGATACTCCTAAATAAACAAGAGCCACCGATCGTACAAGAAAATAAAAAAATAATAATCCAATGAGGAAGGTGTGTTCGAGGATGGCTAAAAGTTTGGAGTTTCGGACTACAGATCTAAAGTTCTAGTCCTTGACATCTACAACTTTCTACAGTTCCAGGCCTAGAGATCGCGTGGTCACATCGAGAGGAAGGACCAGGCACTACTCGATAAGCATAGCTTCTCAGTATTCTTAAAACTACAAAAACAAATTTAATGTTAACATCTTGCAGCAACTAATGGAAAATATTGTTTTTCAGTGTTTTATAGAGTGCTGGATGTCGTATAGGCAGAGCTGTACACGCTTTTTGTGTAAAGATCAAGATGATTCTAAGTTGCTACTCGTACTTTCACGCTTAATGCGATCATCAGGCAACTTTTAAACTACTCTCACTATTTCTTTGATTTGGATAAGGAAATTTATTTCCTTTAAGAAAGTAACTGCACGAAAGCTTCTGAAGTAAAATAGAAAATTGCCAAGATCAACCAGCGGGTTCGTTCTATAAAAGCTGCATTACATGTCTCGGACCTGAGGTCCTAAGGCGAAATTCATTAGCCCAAATACACCTGCGCATCAGCAAGTGACCAATCAGACAACAAGTTTTATAACGACCAATCAAACTCGTACTGCTAAACACGTGATAGAAAAACAAGTATATAATATTTCCATAAAGGTGGTTTTTGAGCTTTCAAACATGCCAACGAAATCCACACGATATCAACATTTTGTTTTTGATTTTGGATTACACTTTGATGAATTCAGTTGCAACACTAAGTTGCACGTTTTTAAAGCATTGAGTGATGGTAAAAGGAGAGGATATACCTAAATATGTTGAGTCGTTATTTTCGTGCTGCAATGCTATTGGTGGACCTGACACTGATCACATGAACTCACCTCGTACTGATTTACAAACCAGCTTCCAAAAATAGCAAATTGTTAACAACAGATGCCGCTATCACATGAAACTACAGAGATCGCGCCGAAACCAAGTGACCCCCTTTAGAGAAGGCCTATTTACCACGATTCAATGGCTTTAAATTCCATCATGGACAAATAGTTTGCTTGATGATCGCGTTAAATGAGAAATGCAATGTAGCAACTCACAACCGTTCTGTTCTATATAGCAATGCGTGTACAGCTCTGCCTACACCGAATCGAGCACCATTTGACAGACCGATAAACAGTGAGATATATAACAGGTGGATCAAACTGTTATCAAACTAGTAAACAAAACACGATTGTTATGAAGTTACCTGGTACTTTGCTAGCACATCATTTGTTAATTCCCCTTTGTGAATGCTGAGGGGAACGTAGCTATTCAATTCAGCAAGTTTAGCAATGGATGCCTCAGCTCGGTTCTTTCCAACATCTTGTTCGCTCAAATAAAACTGTCAAGATCAAAATAAAATAAACAAGATGCCAACTGAATATTTACAAAATTAAAAAATCAACTTATTGATGCTTAATCTGTTATTACAAAAGAGGAATCTTCGCTATTTCAAAGACACCTTTATCAGATGTTACAAAAAATAAAAGTCTTTATAATTTTCTGATAATAACAAAACATCCAATCAAAAATTTCCTCCATTTAGGAGGCTCAGATTTGGTAGGATACAGCCAAACCTCTAGAAGCTGGTCATTTCAGGGCCTTAAGACTTCCTGAGAACCAAAAATCTTTATGCGATTACTTAGGTATTAACAATCTTGTGTTTGATAAAGAGTAGCATATTTAGCCATTCATATTTTGTGCTAATACAAGTAAGGTTTCTTGAGGTGCATTCTCACGACCAGGCCATTTTTTTTCTTTTCTCCAGTTCCACCTAATCAAGTCCCTTTGGCAATAGCACAACAACCCTTCCAAAAATGCTTCTTCGTTGATCCCTAGCAATTTCAAGGCAATTCAATTTGTTGGGTTTAATTAGCTTCAGTATAGCTAGATATTGTGCCAACTTTAAACAAATAAATAAATAAATAAAATTACCTGAGAAGCAAGGTCCAACATTGTGCATACATCAGCATCATGAAGGGTAACAGATTTCACTCCACCAAGAATCACATTCTTTGCTATTTATTGAATTGAAAAAATTCTAAATTTCTACTTTTCCATTATATTTTAAATCATTATTAAAAAATTATGACACTGAAAAGCTAACTATAATGAACACAGAACCAATAATTATCCTTGAAAATGTAAAAAAAGCTCTATTTTAGAACCATTTTCCTAACAAAATCACCAAAAGAATGCCACAAATTAAAATTGAAATCTTTACCATTTTCTGAAATTTTGATAAATTATTATATATATTTATAATAGATTATAAATATAAAATTATAACATATTATTACAAATATAGTATTATCACATATATTACAAATATATCATATTCCAAATATTTCATAATATAATTAAAATATTATAAATTAAGATATAATGTATATATTTTGATTTTTCACATATATATTTATAAATACTATTGTTTTTCTCTTTGTAAACTAACTTCAGCTATTATCATCATCATTTTAAACATTTAAACCTCATATATTGTATCTAGCTTTCCTCCTTATAATTTAAGAAATTAGGCTAACTGATTAAAGTCCCAGACATTGTTTGATTCATTCTAAAATTGGCTATGACTACATAAGGTAGCGTCTTCCCAGCATGTATGTTTCCCATTAAAATTTAAAAGGCAGTGTCGTGGTATATAAATCCCGTACAAAGAAAAACAAATACATATTTATATATGTATCATAGAGTTGAAGAAAATAAGACTACATGGCTTATCTCTACAAGCCTGTTTCGTGAGTAACTCACTTTTCGTGAGTAACAGCTTGTAGAGATAAACCATGTAGTCTTATTTTCTTCGACTCTATGATATATCACGCTCTATGTGCTAATGTATTGAGCACTGTGCTACAGAAGTATCAAAAGACATATTTCTATGAGTTTAGAGAGGTTTTGCTGTAAGCTTCATTCTGAAGAAGCTTACAGCGAAACACCAACCAAGTTGTTTTTCTTGAGTATCTATTTATATTTTTTAAAAAAAACATGTCTCTGTGCTTTTGCACATTGAGCACTGTTTAGTTAGAATAGACAACAAAATCTGGAATAAATATAAATATATGTATATTCATCTATTATATAACTGAAATTTGATTAAATTGGGAGAACAAGCCATTGATGTTTTACTGCCTCAAACAGAACATATAAGATTTTGACTCTGCAATATAACATTGCTTTTGGCTTTGTTGATTGCACTACATCAAGAAACCTGTTCATCAAAACAAATTCATACCTATTTCAACTCCCAAACCATTTAAGCCAGAAATCAGAATGTTTGAAGCCCCCATCTTTTTCATGGCCTCGTGACCAAGCACATACCTACAAGGTTAAATCGAGAACACAATCATGTTTATGTGGATATAATGTTAATTATGGGAATTAGGACCAGAATGTAGCCTGAAACTGTTTCCAAAGAATTCTGGTAGACCATTTTTAGGTAGGCAATTATGCGATTTATGCAGACAGCTTCATTAAAACCCTTTACTTCCATCCAGTACCAAATAAACAGGAGATGGTTGTCAATATCACTGGTTGTTGGTGATCATGAATTGCAGCAATTATTCAATTATAAAGATCCTAATTATTCAATATAAATAAAAACTTATGCATTCAAAATAGACCAAAAATTGAACATAATAAGAAAGCCCTTTAACTTCACTTGTACTTTAAAGTTGCTACGAAATCTGATATTTGTAAAAAACAACAAATGATCAATACAAAGTCTACTTGGAATGAAATATGACTTACAGTTGCCTGGAATACAAGCCCTCGTCGATGTCTGCATCTCCTGGAGCCATGTTTGAAATCTAGATACAAATGAACTTTACACTTTAAATAACTTACAAGATAATCAACAGGAAAAACTCACATTTCCAATTTTGATGTCTTAAATATAACTTGCAATAAATGCATGGGAAGAAAAGTAAAAAAGAAAATTGAAGCAAAACATAATTTGAAATGGCTCAACCACCTTGGCTGGTCTTTAAAGTAATCAATGGACTGAAAAACGAGATGCCAAAGTTTGTGATGTTAAGAATTGTGCAACATCACGAAAAGCAAGAACAGCTGGAAAATACTGAAGCAGGTGATAAGGCCTTGGTCTTATAGAACTCCATAAATCTGCTTGAGAAATTCCAGCCTTTGCCAATCTTCACAAAATATCAAAACTCAAAATCATTTAAAAACTGTGTAAATATATACCCTAAATTTACACCTTCACTTTGGTACTGAAATGTTTAAAAATCAATATTTTTTATCTTTGATGTTCATAAAATATTAACAAAACATTTTTTTCAAACAATACAGAAATAATGAGAAGGAATTTTAGAAGTTGTTTAGAAGGTAAGATAATCCTTTTTTATTCATGATTCATGAAGTTTTCATCCTTTTTTGATCCATGGCAAACTTTTTCATTGAAAAAATCACAAGACACAACATCAAAAGAAAATGTCAAAAAAATGTAACTCTTTGGCCTATATTCACAAAATAAACTCCTTCACAAAGTAGATATCAAAGAGTATTAAATTTGTTACTCTGCTGATCATCAACTACACAACACAGCACATTATATGCAGATAATAATTAATTTCTTTCCATAGGGAATTTTTCATTGGGAAACGGCACAAAGGCTCAAAATACTGGTTTAAGATTTGACATGTGGCAAATAACTGACAGACTGGTGCCCAGAAAGCTTTAAGAAGTATGCTATAAATATGACTTTATGTTTTTCATTATTGTGTTAAATTGTTGGAAAGAGATAGCCCAAAAAAGAAAATTCATGAAAAAAGTTGTGTTTTCATAGTTGAAGCTCTGGCAATAAATCTTTTCAAATTTTGTGATAGGAGAATGAGATTTGGGACAAAAATACTGACAGAAAATGAGAGTGATTGTGCAACAAGGGCAGGACTTAAACCTGTGACCACATATGTTTGTTGTTGCCCTACCAACTGAGAAAAATGTTGAATACAGAGAGATGAGGATTAATGACGGGCCTGGCCATAAGACTTTGAGTAGGGGAGCTTTAAACAGCTTTTCAATAATTTCCAGATGAGCTACTTATAAATAAAAAAGAATAGAACAAGGCAAAATTGATTTCCTTCCAAGGCGAGCTATTCACTTTTTAGAGCAATTTAGGAGAGCAATATGCAGCTCCCTTCCAGCACTTTAGCAGAGCCTGGAGAAGAGCCAGAGTTATGGCTCTCCTCAACTGGCTAGGCCTGAATGAGCATCATTCATCGACTACAATAGTTAAGGTGCTTTATCATTGCAGCAAAGAAATATTATCCCTCTTTCTGTTTCTGATTTATTAGCTTTGATCTTAACCCATTTCTTTTCAAAATGATTTTGTGTGTTTGTGACATAATAAGAACTTTTCAAAACCCTGTAAAACTTTTCATCAAATTTGACAACGAGGGTGACCATAGCTACTATAGTCCTTGAGGGTACACAAGCCCCCAAAAATCATGAAATATTTGTTTTACAATGATCACAATGCTTCCTATTAAACAATTGTGCCCCCACCCCACCCCACCCCACCCCCACCAATAATTATATCTCTTCTACAGTACCGACAATCTTTTCAATTTCAATTGTATTCAATATGTTATTGTTCTTTTGGAATGATCACACTTCAGGTGCCAACTGTAGCTTCTTGGAAACCACAACCTGAGATTTTGGATGTGTGCATAAAATTTTGTCACCTGCAGGCATCCTTTTAATGTCTTGTATACATATCTGGAGGTTAATATAAATGTTTGTAGACATAAATCTGTTTTTATAGCAGAAATCTAGGAGAACAGTACAGTCTGCATATTTTCAATTTCCTTTGTTCAAGTATACGACCTTTCAACAAGAAAATTTCAAGCTTTCTCTAACTCAAATGTAAAGCTTCTTATGACCAGCAAACACGAAAAACGATAACTCATAATTTTCTGTGCAAGCATATTTGACCTTATATCTAGTTATGTAATGGCTGATTTTGTGACATCCCTTACACTAACAGCTCCAATATTTTTCATGTGGAGCGAACAAGAATTTCATCTCATTTCAAAGACTTATCTATGTGGAGGGTAGCGTTATAGCAAAACCAGCAGCTACACTTGAAATAAATTAAACATGTAATAAAATGCAAACCATTTTAGGGAATGGAATGGAAAGATACATATTGGGAACAAACTAGGAGCCAACCATTATGCACAACATATTCACAGTAAATTCTGCAGAGTTTTTACTTATGAATACAAAATAAAAGGACCAAAACTGATTCAATAAAGGCTAAGGTTTAGGCCTTTGTATTGCATCATAGGTTGCACTGGTAAACTCACCCCGTTTTTAAATTGCCCTGGTAGACCGTTCTGCGTTGCACAAGTCCTTGGCCTCTTGCTTGGTGGTGAGCACGACTCAGAATTGCTGTTACTTGACATCAATGAATTGAGAATATTCTTGTAAGGTGTGTGTGTCTGATGAGACGCCGTATCAAAGCTGAACAACGCTTTTCTGGCGAGAAAGAGAGAGAACAGCGAGGACCGCAGTCATGCGCACGCAAGTTTTGATATCCTTGTTACGTCATCGAAGTTCGGGGAATCTTCGTTGCGGGAAGCTGCTGACATCATCATAAAGGGACAAATTTCGTCCCTCTGCTTCCATGAAACAAAAAATGATTATTACAACTTTGCCTATTTTCTTTAAGAAACACAAGAGCTTACCTTCAGTATCAGGACCAGTGAAACCGGGGGGCTGGGGGGAGGGGTTCATGGCCTCCCCATTTTTCTGCGAAAAATGCAAAGAAACGAGTAACTGTTCTTAGTACTCCCTTAAATATGGGCTTAGCTTAAGCTTGGTTACGATTTCTATACCATAGAATAAATAGAGAAAATTTAAAATGGGAATTTTATCGAAGAGATCGGTCATTGTCCACGATGTACAATGAGAAATACCTTGACTTAAGAAATGGATCAAGAAACCTGATCCAGGATAACTTGGTGCTAACACCAAATAATGGAGTTTCATTTTTTCTATGGCCTAAACGTGGCTCACAAGGTCTATTTGTTAACAGAAAATTATCTATTTGTCACAGAAAGGAAGATTTCAGCTGTTGAAAAAAAGGAACTGCTGGGAACAAATTTTAAACAAAATGACAAATGTTTTTTCAGTAGATTTGTTCCTTTTAAGTATCATCAAGAAAGGTTCAAAGTCTGATTGTATCGACTTCTGTTCATACTGCTCCAGATACATTTGATAACGGTGTGAAAACGATGAAGCGTTCACATTGCTCGGCTATGGATAAAAAGGAAAACGCCACGAACTGGTTTCCAGACCTTGCGACAACTAATAAACTTTTTAAACAACTCACTGCCACTTTTTTTCCTCGAAGTAGTGTAATAGCCTCGAGTGAATCAGCAATGTTCAGAAAAGTTGTTCAAATTGGCGCGGTCTAATGTAAAACCACTGAGTTTACGAGGGTTTTACAGGCTTGTGTTCGCAGATTCGGCAGTAAAAGAAAGTACAAAATTCAATAAGCGTGTTCTGATTTCTTGGCTCGACGGTTCCTATAGTTTCATCTAATTCAACAACGACTAAACGGGTCACTTCGGCAAAACTGGTATGCTTCAAACTTCTTGAAATAACAACGGCTATCCGAACATCTGAAATCACGTCTAAACCTTAGCGACTAAATTAAACGACTGAGTTACTCACAAAAGCCAACAAATATTTTACTCAACAGCAATTAAGATAATTAGGACAGTTATACAAAACAGAACAAAGGAGCTGATCACAAGACAGGCTGTTACATGGAAATTGGCCAAGGTGCTAACGAAAGTCAAGCACGCAAATGAAATTCAAACAGCAAACAAGCAAAAGTTTCCTTAACGAAATTCTGTCCTTTTACACTAAGCATCTTGCTGTGTTGTTGTTGTTGTTGTTGTTATCGCTTTCAAAAGTATCCGGTTTTCGGTGTTCACACTGCGTTTTGCGTTTTCGAAAGTCTCCGTTTTTAAAAGTCTCCGTTTTTAAAAGTATCCGTTTTCAAAGTGCGTTTTCAAAAGTCTCCGTTTTCAAAGTGCGTTTTCAAAAGTCTCCGTTTTCACAGCGGAGCAGTGTGAGCGCAAGGCACAAACGGATACTTTTTTATCCGTTTTCATTGGAATCCGTAGCAATGTGAACGGGGCCTCACTCTAGGGGTGGTTTTATATTTCACAGGTTTTATGGATAATTTTGAAAAAATAGGGTTTTCTTAACTTTCTGCAAAGCAAAGATAAAAAAATTACGGCGATGCGTGCCAAAGTACAGGGCGGGCAGCTTATCAAATGTCCAACTCGCACTTACAAACTTTTTCGTATGGATAGAAACTTTGACAAGCTAATAAAATGATAACCGACTAACGACTAAATGATAAATTTTGATGATTCTCGTTCGCTGGAAAATGAACTGTCTTAAGTAATTTTTACTAAAGCAATTCTCCTATTTGTACTGAAAATTCCTTTATTTTTGCAAACAGATTGTGCAGCAGTTAAAAACAACTGATACCATTTTGCCGTGGTCTTGAAAATAGAATGATTTTGCGTTACTTCCAAAGCCAGGTAACCAGCAAAATAATAGTCAATTGCCCCTCTTCTCATCTTTGGATTTCTTTTTTGCATGTAAAAAAGATCTGGAGCTCGTTGTGAATTTCAGTTAACGATTCTTCTGGGGGGAAATTTGACACATGGTCCAATTCTACCAAAGGAGAGTCTTGATTTTTTTATTAGTATCAACAAGAAATCTTGAAATCATCGACTTCTGTAAAAAATTATATAAACGCGTGTGACAAAGAAGCTCCTCCAGTTTGCGTTTGTTTTTTCTTTCTCTTTCTTCTTTGCGCCTGACATTCTATACATGGGCTCCGACAAAGGTTGAAAAGTGCGGGGGCCAAGGGAAAATTTAACACCCATAACAAAAGATTTTGAAAAAAACTCTATTGTTTTGCAAAAAAGTGGGGGGCCAAGGACCCCCTTCCCCCCCTTCGTCGGAGGTAAATTCCCTGCAGACTTACAGTCAAATAATTTGCTATAGGTTGGATTGCAGGGGAAAGTTTGAAACACTTTTGGTACCGGGGTTTGCAAACTTGTGACCGGGGAAACTTTGAAACACTTTTGGTACCGGGGTTTGCAAACTTGTGACCGGGGAAACTTTGAAACACTTTTGGTACCGGGGTTTGCAAACTTGTGACCGGGGAAACTTTGAATTACTTTTGGTACCGGGGTTTGCAAACTTGTGACCGGGGAAACTTTGAAACACTTTTGGTACCGGGGTTTGCAAACTTGTGACCGGGGAAACTTTGAAACACTTTTGGTACCGGGGTTTGCAAACTTGTGACCGACGACTTTGATCGAGGTCATCTATACCGGGGACAGTTATTTTGTCCCGTGGAGAGTCTTGCCTTGGCCGGGGCAGGATTTTGCCCAGTTTATTTCAGAGGGGAACTCGCCGGGGCAGGATATGCCAGGGCACTTGGGCTCTGTTTATATGGAGAAAATAGCCTCGGCTACCCGATACTATTTTTTTGGTGATATGGAGAAAATAGCCTCGGCTACCCGATACTATTTTTTTGGTGAGGCTATTTACAGGCTTTGTTCATATGAGAGAAAAATAGCCTCGGCTTGCCGGGGCTGTTTCAATTTGGCGCCAAATTTGACGACTGATAATAGGTTTTGAGAATGACTGGCGTGCTTCTGCTACTTTCTGTTTTATCCTAGTGTACCCAGTTCTTATCAATTGACGTTCTTCTTTGCTTTATTTTTCGTAAGCTGCTTTTTCAACGGCTGTCATTTCAGAAACAGGTTCGAAAGGAGATGTCTCTTCCGGTAGCTCAAAGAATCGATCATATATTTTCACCATTTCTTTGCGAATATATGTATTTTCGAATACGTGTATTTCCGTCATCAAAATCTGTGTTCTTGTATGCACATTTGTTTTTATAATCCAGCAAAATGTCAATGAGTTCCTTTATCACTTTGGAGCTCCATCAAAAAGACCTTTTTTCGATTGTCCTGGAGCCTGATTTTACTTCTTCTTCTTCCGCCCATCTGGTTTGGGCCACGCACGAGAATAATTATTTGCGCTAGCGCAAGATCTACAATTTTAAGTCGGTGAAGTGAGGCTATTTTCTTTGGGTTTATAAGAGAAAAAATAGCCTAAATATAAAAATAAATTTGTTAAACTCCACTGCTGGGTGAAGATCGGTGAAAAATTTGCATGTAAACAATGAAATAAAGAAATAAATAATGTTGATAGCAAGATCTTTTAAACTGCCAATCTCACCTGAAAAAGGATTCTCTGTCACTTAATCGAAGCTCCTTGGTCAGTGTGTGGAATGCTCCAGGCTGGGAACTTTTTTGAAAATTTCTCTTACCCAGAATCGATGTCTTCTTTTTGGTTTCCTGTTTAAAACGCGTCTCAACAAGGATAGGACTAAAAACTTGCAAGTTTGAAACAGAAATTTTGAGTTTAATGCAGCCATGTTGACAAATTGAGAAATTGTGAATTTACGCGCCAATTGCAGGACATTGCTCGCGCGCAATCTTAATTGATAGGCCCAGATCTCTGGTCCGCGTTGTACTGGAATCGAGCGACCCTCAGCGACCAAATGGAGGCAAACTGTTGCTGGAGTCGCTGGGGTCGCTGAACTCAGTTTTCGGCGACCCGACGACCCCAGCGACCTCGGCAACTTTTATGGAAACCAGGCTTTATAATGGTGTATTATCTTCATCGTAAATTATTCAAAAACAGTATCAACATGACGTATTATTGACAAATTGTGGTATTTGTAGCGGGTAAATGGATAGCTTAGTTTAATTAATTATCACGAATGAAACTAGGTAGCAGAAGCCTTGATCTATATTGTATTCTTTTTTGTTAACCTTAGCTTGAATAGGTTCATTTATGTCAACGCGGCATTAGTTTTATAGGACATTGATGCACTTAAAGGCAATGAATGACACGGGTAACCTGTTTTGTGGGACATTGATTCAATGGTCAATGTCTGATAAGCAAGGATGTAGTGCTAGGGGGATGCCGAAAATTGCCAAATTTCTACCTTTGCTATTGTTTTTCGCAACATTTTGTGCAAAAGCCCCCCCTTGGTATTTTGATAGCACTAAACCACTGCTGATAAGGTTGTCTAACTAGGATCAATAACTGGAGAAATTAAGTAAATACTGTTTTGTCAAATTTCTGCTTTAAGACATACTCACATAATATATTTGCCCACATAACAACACCAGCTTAAATTATCTATATTTCAATGATTTGATAATTTACAGAACTTAACTTGCTTGACAATCTAGCGAATTTTGCCCTATCAGTAGTTAAAAAAGATTTTTAAATTAGCTTTTACATTTTAAAGGGCATGTAGACGGAAACAACAGAACATTAATGCTGGATACAGTGCAAAAGGCTTATCAATGCAGCTGAAAAATATGAAAATTTAATACTGAGCTCCAATGAGATTTATCGTTCCGTGACTTTCCTTGGGTTGTACAATGTTAAGCCCTTGGGTTGTAAAATAATTGTAAACAAAGAATTTGAATATGAGAAACTCTCAGGTGGTATATAAGGTGTAAAATACCATTGTTCGTGAAAAAAATTACATTTACTCGAACTTGACATACAGTTGACATCCGCTATCTCGACTGCCCGCTATCTCGAACATTGGCTATTTCGAACCAATTTTTGTTTCCCTTGGTTTTGCTATTGTGTTACGTATAGAAAAACCGTTCGCTATCTTGACTGCTCGCTATTTCAAATATTTGTTATGTCGAACCGTTTTCTGTTTCCCCTCAACGAAAAGTGTTCGCTATCTCGAACTTTTTTGTTTTTTGTTATGATGACAGTTAACAGATTAGAAAGATAGTGTTATAATACAATTTAAATGTTCAAATCAATGGATAAAGGGGTAATCCGAAGTTTAGAGGCAAAGTACCGAACAGTTTTTGGTGCAGAAATACATCAGAGCAATTGATCAACAAAAGTCTCTACCAAAAATTAGCATTTTGAATGCAATGGACATATTAGCCGCATCGTGGTCTATGGTATCTGAAACGACAATCGTTAACTGCTTTGCCAAAGCTGGCATTTTCTTCGAAAATCAGCATCAGGCAGCATCAGATGAAGATGACCCTTTTAAAGACTTGGTGGAAGAATTGACGAAACTGCAAAATAGAGATCAAGAAATTGCTCCAGCCAACACAAGTGCAGAGGATTTTATTGACTGCGACGACCAAGTCTTAGCAAGAGCAGCATTGCCAACTGAAGATGAAATCATAGCTGAGCTAATTGGTGAAGAAGTTGTTAAAGTTGAGGAC